AAAGTGGGGATCCAGCCTTGACAGACACGCTGACACAGACACACTGATACAGACACAGACACACACACTGATAAACAGACACACTAATAGATGGACACACTGACAGACACACTAATAGACAGACACAAACTGACAGACACACAGACACACTGATACAGACACACACACACACACACACACACAGAGACACACTGATAGACACGCTGACACAGACACATTGATACAGACTCAGACACACTGATAAACAGACACACACTGACACAGACACACTGATAGACAGACAGACAGACAGACACACATTGCAAATGAATTTGGTCTGCTTCAGGCACCATCCAGGAGCTTGCAAAAGCTGCTTCCTTCCACTCTCGCTGGTGCCAGGCTGAGTGGACCATGCCCCTCCATTCTCACTAGCTTCTTACCCTCCTGCCCCCCACAGCCCCACTCACCCCCACCTTGACTCTCCTTTCTCATATGAGGACTGACCAGTCGTCCATTTTACTTAAGTTTCTGTACAATGTCTTTAGACATTTTATTAAATGTTTAGTTAGGAGGGAATGACTACAGGGGGAGCTGCCCTGATGTCTGGAGCTAAGTTTGCCTAACACTTCCCGTTATCAGTTGCTCATAACTTTGCCAGACTTTACCTGTTTGGCTGAACCATTCCCTACGCTCTGCCTCAGACAGTATCTACCTTGCTAGCTAGTCAGTTAGTAAAAGTCTGAACAAAAATGGTTCAGCTGTTTCAAGTGACAGGCCAGAATAAATAGCCTCACTACTGTTAAAGAGTAGCAGCCGTGTTAGTCTGTATCCGCAAAAAGAAGAACAGGAGGTGACTTCTGGGTACTCGTCTGGCTCTGTCAATCTGTTTTTTCACTTCAGCAGGTGGGTATTGTAGTTTTAAGAATGCTTGATAGAGATCTTGTAGGTATCTTGTAAGTATTCTCACACTTCTTAACTGTCTGTACTGGGCTAGCTTGATTATCACTTCAAAAGTTTTTTTTCCCTTAATTAATTGGCCTCTCAGAGTTGGTAAGACAACTCCCACCTGTTTATGCTCTCTGTATGTGTGTATATATATCTCCTCAATATATGTTCCATTCTATATGCATCCGAAGAAGTTTGCTGTAGTCCACGAAAGCTTATGCTCTAATAAATTTGTTAGTCTCTAAGGTGCCACAAGTACTCCTGTTCTTCTTACTACTGTTAAAGACCATTCCAGCCATTTTTTTTTGGAAAAGCTCTAAAGCTTCCATGCTGGGGAACAGGGGCTTGGACTGTGGTAGGGATATCACGCTCAGGTCAGCAAGGTGCCTCTTGCTGGCTGTATACAATCCACTCAAGCTCGGTTGAGGTATAAGCCTCTGAAAATCTTTGTTTGCCCATGCTCAGTAGGGTCTGGTAGCCACTTGCTGATAAAATCTTGGAACAGTCCTTATGCACTGAGCATGCTCCCCAGTGCCACTGACCGTTACCTGCACAGGCCAATTGCACAGAGAATGCCCTGGGATCCAACAGAGCTGGAGCTCCAGAGCGGACACATGTGCAGCAACTGCAGCCAGATATGCTTTGGCCTAAAGGAAGAAATGTTGAGCTGAGAACCAGGAGGAGACCATGAGATCTGGGGCCTGATTTTCCACCAGGTACACCTTGTGCCGTTATTTGCGGCTGTGCAAAGTGGGTATAAAATGCTCCCAGCTTGGAGCAGTGGTATGTAATACCCGCTTTGCAGGTGTAAATGACAACATAAGAGGCTGGACAATGGAGAAGTTGGCCTCTAATCTCAGCTCTTACATTGGGTGGTACTGATAATTCTGTGCACTTCACACTCCTTAGGGAGCATGTCCACGGGCCCCCATCTAAGAAGCAGGCAAGTAGTACACAGAAAGATTGCACAAGCTCTTCTGGCAGCACTAGGGAGCAGACCTAAGGCTCATCCACATAGCCACCCTGCCTTTCAAAATGGCTGTGCCAAATCTATGTGCTTGGCTGTGCTGTTTGTACTACCAGCCCACACTAGGGTTACCATACGTCCGGTTTTTCCCGGACATGTCCAGCTTTTTGGTAATCAAACCCCCGTCCGGGGGGAATTGCCAAAAAGCCGAACATGTCCGGGAAAATACCGGCCGGGCACTTCCCCTCCTGGGCTCCAGCTGCTCTGCTCCTCCCCTGACTCTTCGGCTCTGTTTAAGAGCCGAGCTGCCTGAGCGCTACCAGCTTCGGGCAGCCCCCTTGCCTCTGGACCCTGCGCCGCTGGCTGGGCACTTCCCCCCCGGGCTCCAGCTGCTCTGCTCCAGCGGCGCAGGGTCCGGAGGCATGGGGGCTGCCCGAAGCCCGAGCGCTACCGGCTTCACGATTTGCCGGGCAGCCTCCAGACCCTGCACCCCCGGCTGGGCGCTTCCCCTCCTGGGCTCCAGCTGCGCTGGGAAAGCGCCAGCCGGGGGCGCAGGGTCTGGGGGCTGCCCGGCAAACCATAAAGCCGGTAGCGCTGGGGCAGCCCTTTTCGCGTGGCTGGGAGAGAGGAGGGGGAGTTAGGGCTGGGACTTTGGGGAAGGGGTGGGGTTGGGGTGGGGAAGGAGCGGAGTTGGGGCGGGGCTGGGGGTGGGAAAGGGGTGGGGCCAGGGCCCCATGGAGTGTCCTCTTTTTTTATTTTTTAAATATGGTAACCCTAGCCCACACCCCCTTCTAGGGACAAGCATAGAACCCAGGAATGCTGGTTCCCAACATCTCCCTGCTCTCTAGCAAATAGCTGTGTAAGAAATTGATACAACATGTGCTGCATTTCCTTCTAGTTACTGGTCCACATAGAATGTAAATCCTGCCACTGCTACCACATACTCTTCTAGTGCATGTGCTAGAGGTGGAGGCTGTGTGTCTAAAGCATCCAACCCTGAGGATTCCACGTGATGGGATTCCTCTTGTTTCTGTTTTTATTTTTAAAAAGCTAGAAAATTACCTACAAAATACATGAGCAGGATGTTACGTTTACAAAGTCAAGCACTCAAAAGTCAGGAAATGCCAAATGCACAGTTGCCCATGAAATCTTAGCGCTGCCCCTTTGGGTGTATGCACAGTCTTTATGATCACATGCTATTTTTTCCACAGAACTCCTGCCTCATTCAGTGCACAGGATGGACAGTGGGTGAGAGAGAGGACTGTATGAAGAAAAAGACATCTCTTGTGGTTAAGATGCTGGATTGGGGCCCAGGCTAGCCGGATTCTGTCCTTGGCTTTGCTGCAGAATCTCTGCGCAGTACTGGGAAAGACCTTTTCTTAATGCAGGGCAGTATTCAAGTTACACAGGCAGCCTTAATTCTGGCATTTCCTGACTTCTGAGGGCTTTACATGGCAACCGTAATGGTTCTTTTCTCACTGTTGTTATATGTAATATGTAATAGTTAGGGTGAGCTTGTTTGATAGGTAGTTATTATCTGGGCTATTGTATAATTGCTGCTATTTCACTGCACATGTTGCAATATTATGCTGATGACTGGGAATTAACAATTCAGTTTCTTACAAACAGGTTTACTTGTTCTGTGAGTAGTTCACAGTAAGAGTCACTCATTCCGATCAGTGCTAAGTAGTGAATTATTTAGTATTCTCTGGTAATCAAAGAATAAGTCTTTCATTTATTTAATAAAATTATTGCAAAAGAATACAGTTGCTTAGTGTGTAATTACTAAATACTACAGCATGTTGTCCACCAAACAGCCACATTCCTTTTCCACTCAGAAATTCAAAGGCTAATTACGAGTCATTAATTTTGGCGGTGCCCAGAGCCCTTTGGGGGGCTTCGGTAGGCTCACAAGGGGGGTGAGTTACTGGAGGAACCACACCCTCCTCTTTGCACACTAGGAAGATTACACCCCATGAATGTATGTGTGTGTGTGTGTGTGGGGGAGATCTGGGCCTAGATCTGTACCATTTTGAAGCTGACCAGCAAAGGGATGAAGAGGGGGCTTATGCCTTTATGTCTCTTGTTTGATGATAAGGATTATGAAGGCCTTAGAATTTGTCTTTTTGTTTGGTTTTGTTTTTGACATGAGAAATGCAAATCTCATCTGCCCAGGCACATGAGAGATAGCAGCAGAGTGGGGAAGGGAGATGTAATCAGACTGTCTGACACACTTTGGGTTGAGTTTGCTTTTGTAGATGCCTGTGTAACTCAAATGACTAATACACACTTGGGAAAAGGAGGTCTGAGTTAAAAATCCAAACCCTGCCTCCCCCTTTGAGTAACGGGGAGGAAAAGCTCCTGATACACAGGTGAGCTCTGCTATGAGTCCTCCAGCCAAACCAGGGGAGCCCAGGATCACCAGTCCTGACATTTCTAAGGTAAGAAGCAAACAAACAGGCCAGAGAGGTGAGGGTGATGGTGGAATGGGAGGGCCGTGGGATTGGGAGGAACAGGGAAGGACAGGTGCCCACACCATGCGGGCCAGTGAACTGGACCCTGAAGGATGCCATGTGGGGTTGGCTGTAATCTGGCTGTTGGTTGGTGCTACGTGTAGTCTGAGATATGGAATTAGTCGGGTCAGGTCTCTGGCATGCATTTGTCTCAGGGCCTGGAACATGTACATGAGGCATCCAGACAGGAAGCCTGGAAGAGAGATGCATTCCTTGGCATTGGGGACCCTGCCAGGATATCCAGTAGATTGGACCCCTTCAGGAGTGTTTCCTGCGCAGAGGACTCCAGGCACTTACTGGCAGTGCGGCTCCCCCTGTTTCCTTTACTCCGGGGGTTTCACTGGAGCAGAAAGTTTGTTTTTAATATCCCAGCTCTTATCTTGTAGCAGCAGCCTGTCCCCTCCCCTTGGGCAGACAGACAAAGGCAGAGAGAGCTCTCCTGTACCAGCCACAACGCACGCGGACACCATGGGGAACTGCATCATCACTGTGGTGAGTCCCGGGGCTCCTTTGCCCACCTACACTGTCCTCCTAAATTAGATTTGCTTCCGTAGTGAAGGTGAAGGGCTGAGAGCAAAGGCAGAGTGCAGAGTGGTGCAGGTGTAACCCACACACCTTCTGGGTGTGGTGTTCTGTCCCATCTAGTGGCGCCAAGACCACTTAAAGAGAGAGTTAAATGAGTCTGCTCTACAGCCTTAGCTAACATTCAGTTGGTTTTTAGCTCATGCGGTAGAAGCTCAGGCACTAAGCTCCAGAGTTCCCCAGTTCGATCCTGCCCGCCGACACAGACACATGCTGGGCTAACACTCCTCGCGCCTGAGCACAGCTGGTCAGGGCTTTCTGACAAAACAGGTTTTCATTGGAAGATGGTGAGTCCTGGAAACAGAGACTTTCCTCAGGAATGTCTTGGTTTCTGTGAAGCTGCCCAGGAAGGTTTCTCAGCTCAAGCAGGAATTTCTTGTCAAAGCCAGACAGGGCCTTGCCCCAGTCGCTGACAGCCCAGTGCTTCGGGCACTCCCCTGGCCCACATTTGAACCTGGGCTATAGGAGCCTCTCTCCAGCCTGGCTGTCTGCGCTGTTCTGCTTAAGTCAGGACTGACCCTGGGGTTAGGGTACTGAGGGGAGCCCCAGATTCAAGGCCCTGCGCCAAGCCAGGCAGCGCAGGGATGTGCTCCCAGGTCCCCCACACTCCAGCAGAGCAGCTGAACCTCTGGACTATTGGATATTTGAAGGCTGCTCTCGCTCGCTCTCTGGTTTTTCCAAGAAAACGTTGGCAGGGCTTGGTGTCCAGCTGGTGTGGAATGGGAAAAAAATTAAATCTTGACTTCCACTGGATGGGAAAGCATTTCCTACCCCAGCTCTCCTCCTGCCTCCCTCTCCACCTGCCAATGCCGGGGAGAGATTCCCTGTACCTATGATTTGTGCCAGGCACTTTTCACTCACTCAGCTCCCTGCTCCAAGTGGGACAGAGACCCAAACCACGGAGCACGCCAGCTTCCCTTCAGGAAGGGGAAGGTACTGCAGGATTCCTTCCTTTAGGGAAAGTAACTCTAGAATCTCCTATTCAAGAGTCATTATTTCTGATGGCAATTTCCTCCAGTAAAGTGAGGAGACTCCGAGTTTGGGGAGAATGCAGGTGAGACAAAAATGAGTGACAGCTCTCCAAACATGGGACACTGGAGAGGGATGCTCCCTGCTTCCCTGGGCTTCCCATGCTTCTCAATCCCAATCCCCAGCCATCCCAGTCCTGGGCCACTCCTAAGCCGTTGGGAGTGGATTCTATGGGGATGAGCACCAACAATGATGGTTTGGGACTTTATCCAGAGGCATCACCTTGTGGTTCCCCCTTCGTCCCATCCAGCACAGAAGCTCAGTGGGTTGCAGTATCATTTGTACTTGTGAATTGAGCCCAGGCAGCTGGCTGGTACATCACAGATCCCTCAGTCCCTGCCTGATCTCCTGGTTACTGAGTGGTCATCATGTGGGGCAGACTGATTCTTGTCTGCAGAGATAGAGCTGGGAGCTGCTGTCACCGGCTTGAGACTGGCTTTTGCAACCAGCTGTGCCCAGCGTGGCTGGCTGGCTGGTATCATGGCTGCATGAGCCATGGCATCTGTGAAGCATCCAGCACCAAGCCTGCCTGGCAGCTTGGCTGCAGCCTTGTCCTGGGGCCCTGAGCGAGGCACTGACTGTGATTTGTGACCTTTGCACCAGGAAAATGGCTTTGTAAAAATGATGATCAAAGCATTAGTTCTGAAAACACTGCTTCCTGATGCTGCTGCTCCTGTGCCCTGGGGGACAGGCAGAGGGGCCATCTGGGCACAGGACTAGCTGCTTACCATGAAAGGGCATGTTCCTAGGCCCACACTCACCCCATCTCCAAGGCTGGCTTTGGTTCTGCCCCCCTTGCCTGAACGCCAGCGGGGTCCCAGTGTCACAGGCTGGACAGTTCTGCCCCCTGGAGCCAAGGACACAGCAAACAAGCCCCAGAGAGCCAGCTTGCTCTTCCCCAGGGTCCCTCCTTCCCCACCTGCTGCAGTTCCAGCCCATCCCCGATTCTCACTGGCATTTCCTCCACCCCATTATTATTCGCCCCTGTCTCTTGGCTGGCCCCGCCTCGCTTTCCTCTCTGGCCCCACATTATCCCTGAGTCTCCGCTGAGCCTCCCCCATCCGTTCCTGACCCCAGGCCACCCTGGCTGTTCCCCACATTCTCCCTCTGCCCCATTTCACCCCTCCCCAGCCGCCAGAGTCCCCCCAACCCATCCCTTCCCCCTAAGCCCTCCTCCTCCATCCGTCCGTCTCTGCTGCCCTGTGCCGAGGACTCTCACTGGCTCTGTCTGCCCTGCAGCAGGGAGCGAGTCTCCCGGCTGGCCAGCAGGCTCATGCCAGCGGGGCACAAGCTGTGGGCAGCTGCTGCAGTGGAGACAAACGCAGTGACTGCCTGTGCAACGCCCATGCTGCAGAGCAGCGGCTTTCAACCTTCTTTCATTTGTGGACCCCTACAAAGTTTTGAATGGAGGCGCGCCCCCCTTTGGATATCGCAGACATAGTCTGCGCCCCCCGGGGGTCCGCGAGCCACAGCTTGGAAACCACTGTTGTAGAGGGCTAGGCCATGGCATCCTAGGAGTGCAGAGTGGACGAGCCCTCCAGAGCTCCTCTAGCCCAGCCCCCGGCGCTGCGGCAGGACCAAGTGACCCTGGACCATCCCTGACAGAGGTTTATCCAGCCTGTTGCTAAAAACCTCCTGTGAGGGGTCTCCCTTGGGAGTCTTTCCCAGAGTTTAACTCCCCTTAGTGTTAGAAAGTTTTTCCTAATATCTGACCTAAATCTCCCCTGTTGCAGACTTAGCCCATCGCTTCTTGACCTTCAGTGGCCATGGAGAATACTTGATCCCCCCCCGTCTCTATACCAGCCTTAGCATGTTTGAAGACTGTTATCAGGTCCCCCCTTAGCCTTCCTTTCTTAAGATTAAACATGCCCAGTTTTTGAACCTTTCCTCATACATTCGGTTTTCTGTACCTTTTCGCATTTTTGTTGCTTTCCTCTGCACCTTCTTCAGTTTCCATTTCTGCCTAAAATGTGGTGCCCAGAACTGAACACCATCCTCCAATGCCGAGTAGAGTGGGACAATGACCGCCCGTGTAATACAGGGCTGGTGGAAGGATGTTTCGTGCCCTAGGCGAAACTTCCACCTTGTGCCCCCTCCACCCCCCATCCCCGAGCCACCACCCTGAGGCACACCCCCCCCGCAGCAGCTCCCCACCCCCCACCCTGAGGCACCGCCCCCCCGCCCCAGCTCACCCCTGCCCCGCCTCCTCCCTGAACACGCCGTGGCTGCTTCACTTCTCCCGCCTCCCAGGCTTGCAGCACCAATCAGTTTAGGCACTCCTATACCCCAACCCCCTGTCCCAGCCCTGATTCCCCTCCCACACTCGAAACCCCTCAGTCCCAGCCTGGAACTCCCTCCTGCACCCCAAACCCTCATCCCTGGCCCCACCCCAGAGCCCTCACCCCCCCCGCACCCTAACCTGGAGCCCCTTCCCACACTCTGAACTCCTCATTTCTGGGCCCACCCCAGAGCCCGCACCCTCAACCGGAGCCCTCACCCCCTCCTGCACCCCTACCCCCAATTTTGTGAGCATTCATGGCCCGCCATACAATTTCCATACTCCGATGTGGCCCTCAGGCCAAAAAGTTTGCCCACCCCTGGCCTAGCTCCATCCTCTTTGGAACCCCCTTTCAGG